ATGCACATATATGGACCATATGGCTAAGGTCGTAGCAAAACTAAATTACGTCACCAACACCCTTCTAACAGTATTAGAATCTCTCAAGCAAAGTTTTTTCCGATGCCAGAGAAAAGTTCACATGAGAAAAGTCCCCAAAAACAAGAAAAACCAGCAATAATCAGGATCCAAACGGGAAAACTCGGACAAAACCCATCGCAATGAGGAAAAGAGCAAGGAATAGCTCAGCTTGGCTGATAACAACTGCCAGATCGACGGAACTACGTCAGTAACCAGCCGCATCATCCGTCATTGCCCCAGTGCTCAGCGCACTGGATCTGACAACGTGAAGCCGCTTATCACCGAGTAATCACTTGCTCGTGGCAAACATGTTTTTCCTGATTCTCAGGGAAAATGCAGTAGAAACGGCAAGACGACAGAATTACGCTAGCTAAATAACAAACATTGAGAGAATGTAAAGTCTGGCGAGGTTGAGGAAGAGCCTAGTAATATTGGTGCATATCGATCGACTGGTAGCACTCATCTGATCAACGCGCGGTGACGTGTGAAATCCGACAGAATGTTTACCTTGGCTGGCTTTCACACATAATGTCGAGAATAAATAATGTGCAAATATATCTAGGCGTCAAGTTTGACGCGACGCGCACGCGTTCGTGACACTGGCCGGACCAGGCTGGATCAAGCTGGACGCCTGAGCTGTCAAAAGCGGAAAAGCAGGTGCCTCTAGGAAAATAACTGGTCATTTCTTCCAAATAGTAGAAGAACTACATGTCTCTAGTGAGGGACGAGATTTTATGGTCGGATATTAAATGAATTACGAGTTTGCAAAACTACTGCACCAATCAGGACTCGAACCTGGAAGCGTCTGTACAGCAGCCTAACCTCTTAGCCACTAGGCTATGGAGGATAGGTGCCACTTATAGGAGGGGTGTGGAGCATCGCAAACCGTATCCGCTACAACAAATGTCCACAACTTCAAGTACAGGTACGTTTGGCAAATTTCCAAAACATGTAATAAACTAATATTTAATCCTCTATTCCCCAGTACACCTTTCATTTTGGATGCATATGTCGTAACCTTCTGTATTTCCGGACTTTCAGAAGTTAACAGAAGCATAAACGCTACCCTCATTTGTAGGGAAAAACAAGGGTCATCTGTTGGACTTCGGTGTGTGTCCACTTGGATTAAACCCAGTGCAAATTGTAGATTTTAATATGTACAGGTGAAATACTGCAACTAGACGAGAAAAGCATACTAGCCTAAAAGTTCTCGAGGAAACAAAAACTTTTGCGCAAGCCGGGACTCGAACGCTCGACCCTTGTGCATGACAGTCTACTACGATAACCACTGGACTATGGGTTACGCGCTTCGCTAGGGGACTGGTGGGAGGGCGCACATTCACCTATACATAGTAAAAGATCCATAACTTTATGCACAAAGATGTTTGGCGGGTTTCCAAAGCAGATAATTGATCGTCATTTTGATCTGGATACTGTAGATGTGCCATAGTGCTTAAGAGGAGGATTGATCTATGGTGCGATTACGGACTTTTTGGACAAAAGCACGAATAACCAGGATTTTTCAAGGGACCTTTTAAAAACGGTTCCCGAATAGGCAAAAACAAGAGAAATCCGTCACAGAAAGCCAGCTGAACCTGCAAATTCGAGCAAGTAATCCTACCCGTCTTGAAAATAGGATAACCCGTCCACTACCGTCTACGCGAACGGAAGCTCTCAGGTGACACCCATAAATCCCTCCAATGCATCATCCGGGGAACGATGAACCCTCGTGGAAGTAAACACGCCTCGGCGCCGCGGTCCAGACGTGATTTCCCGATTTCTGGAACCACTTAAGGGAAAGTGCGATTGACTTGCACTTAGGTAATGCTTTGGGCAACTGGTTACTGGGCCGCGAGGCTCAACGGACTGTTTGACCTTGATAACGATGGAAATTTGCCAGGTCACGAGTTTCCAATAGCCTAGCAATTTGGCGTGGGCGGAAGGTTAAGTCACACGGTACTTAGGTAAGGCCGAAAAGTACAATTCTGCAGTCCTACGTGACTTTCTGACTTCCGCGGACCTCTCTTCGCGGACTGACACCTCACTCAGACTGAATAGGCTTCAAAGATCTTATTTACACTACTACTCCTCTTCTACTAGCCAACTGATAATTAGCGGAAGTGTCAACGAATCAAGCGTTGTGAAAACTCGTCCCTTGCCGGAAAAACTTCCTCGCTCAGCCATCGATCACTCAAGGAGTCGGATAGGCAAACAAGAAAAATCGATAAAGGTAAATATAGCCTTTGTGGCCAGGCAATAAAGGCGAGAAGACGTGAAACCCCGAAGAGGCGCGCTGTTTCCAGAGTAACGAAGCGCAGAGATCAGTTTTTCCAGTGTTTGCCAGATTTAGAGACAAAACACAGCTACAAATTATTTTGACTACAATTTTTGTTTACTCGCACATGTTTGGGTTACTGTAGAGAAGAAATTTCGGAAGAGATCTTGGAAAAGGAGGAAAATTTTCAAGAAGTATTTCCAATGGCTGAGGAAATGTATTATAAGTACAGATGATAGCTCCCATTAACCATCCAGCACTCCAACTACACCGGGACCAATTGACACTACGATACGCCAGACTACACCTTTCCGAAACAGTTTAAACTGGGAAAAATCTAACGCCTTTTGCACTGAATATGTAGCAGTGAAAAGTTGCATTATCAAAGCCTTTGAAATAGGCGACATTTTGGTAGCGTACTCTGGTGTTTCGTAGTCAGATTAAGGCGCAACAGCTCAAAAGCTTTTTGTCCTCTGATCGAGTTTGCTCATATATCCCAAAACCGTCAATATTGGGCGATATACTACATTTCAACCAGTTAAGGCTCAACTAATGGTATGTCATTTCATTAAATTCGTAGCACCAAGCATGACTAGTGCAAACTACGTTGCGTCAGAGTACACACTCGCAATTGAGCCAGAAGTCCAGAATAACTGTAAACAGTCTGATTTAGACTATTTTTTTGCAGGAAAGTAAATTATTTTAAAAAGGTTATTATGACTTATCTCGTAAAACGTGTAAATTAGTAAAAGTGTACTCTGGCGCATCGTAGTCCAAATTGAAATCCATAGCTGGTAGAAAGGCTATTACTTCCAGAACAAAAGAATAATTTCCCAAGTTTTAACACTTCAAGCAGTAAACAATCATTTCAAACTACGAAACTACCAGATTACACTGCCGCCAAACCACCAATGCCTGGAATTAATCAAGGCTTGCTACTAGTTCTGCAGCGAATGCTTGAGCATGATAACAAGTAACGATGCAAATTGCTACGTCAAATGACCGATGGAACAAAATTTGGTCCTGCAATCTAGCACGATGGGGTTAAATTGAAACCCATTAGCTGATGAAGTCTATATTTACTGGCCTATATCTCTCCAACAAGATATAATTTTGACATCATGCGCGCACAGTAGCAGACTAAAGCTCGATCAAGCCAAAGCTCAAAGCAATCTCATTCTTAAAGCAAAAACCAGATAAAGAATACTGGAGAGAATCTGCCGCCAACAATTAGAGCGGAGCGATATCGTGGTCAGTCTTTTGAACTAATAAACAGCTGATATTTAGGATGTAATCTGGTGCATCGTAGTACAAGCGGCTTCGTTGGTCGAGAACTACGTGTTCAGC